GATTTCTGTTCATGGTGAATACCCCACTAGGGGCAGGGGTAGTATGACAAATTTGGGATAAGTTAGTGAAATGTTTCTTTGGGGCATCCTCAAATTTTACTGCTTTATTGTATAGGAAAAGGTGTGTATTTCCAGGTTCCCTTCCTTCCATCCTACTGTTGCAGAAATGGAGCTGAGCTTCTTGTGTAGGGGTCTGTGCATAATTGCTAATATTTAAAAAAACTTTAAGGGACAAAAAAGGGATTTTTAAATAAGCTAAAAATCTGGGACTGCTGGTTTTCCAGCAACTGGTCGGGTTTTATGTGGATTCTGATTACCTGAATCACCTATCTAGGGCATTGCAAATATTGAATAATTAATCAAACACTTCTGTGGTAAGTATTATTATCCCATTTTACGGAGGAGGAAGGTGAGGTAGAAAAGTCAATGTCTGGTTTTCAGAGGTGGATCTTCAAAAGGGAGTTGTGGATCTGCGGAAGCTTCTAGGCAGATGCTGTACAGTGAGGTAGAGAGACAATAGATTTAGGGTGCTACTGTTTTTCCTTATTCTAACAAAGTTCCTTGTTCAGTGTTAGAAGAAAATGACTCTTGAATCTTTACTTTGTCATGTGACAGACCCCAAAGCCTGTATCTGCCTCTCCAGCAACTTGTGTGCTGGCAAGTTATTAAACTGATGGAAGAAAGGGAAGTTCCTCTTTATAGGAGAAAGCTTTCAGGTCAACGCTGAAAAGAGGGTGGTGTTATGTATTTGGGACAGAGCGTGCCTGTAGGCCTCTCAGTGGAAGGGGAGATGTTCTGGTGGGATAGAGGGCTTGGGTTGCTGGATCAGAGAAATCATAGGACTGGAAGGGACTTTGAGAGGTCTATAGTCCAGTCCCCTCCATTCAAGGCAGGACTAAGTATTATCTAGACCCTAACAGGGGGTTATCTAACCTGCTCTTAAAAATCTCTAATGATGGAGATTCCACAACCTCCCTAGGTAATTTTTTCAGTGCTTAACCACCATGACAGGAAGTTTTTCTAAATGTCCAACCTAAAGCTCCCTTGCTGCAATTTCAGCCTATTGCTTCTTGTCTTATCCTCGGAGACTAAAGAGAACAATTTTTCTCCCTCCTCCTTCTAACAACCTTTTATGTACTTGAAAACTGCCCTTCCAGCTTGACTGTGAACCACTGATAACTACTCTCTGGGAATGGTTTTCCAACCAGTTATGCACCCACCTTATAGTCGCTCCATCAAGGTTGTATTTCCCTGGTTTGTTTGAGGTCATGCGAGACAATATCAAAAGCATTACTACAGTCAAGATATACTACATCTACCACTTCCCCCCCATCCACAAGGCTTGTTACCCTGTCAAAGAAAGCTATTAGGTTCATTTGACACTATTTGTTTTTGACAAATCCATGCTGACTGTTACTTATCACCTTATTATCTCCGAGATGTCTGCAAATTGATTTGTTAATTATTTGCTCCATTATCTTTCCAGGTACTGAAGTTAAGACGACTGGTCTGTAATTCCCTGGGTTGTCCTTAGTCCCCTTTTCATAGATTGGCACTATATTTGCCTTTTCCCAGTCCTCTGGAATCTCACCCACCTTCCATGACTTTTTGAAAATAATTGCTAATGGCTCAGATATCTCCTCAGTCAGCTCCTTGAGTATTCTAAGATGTATTTCATCAGCCCCTGGTGACTTGAAAACATCTAACTTTGTTTAATGGCAGGTCTACACTACTGCTTATGTTGATATAAGTTATGTCACTCAGAGGTGCGAAAAAACCACCCCCCTGAGCAACACAAGTTACAACAACCTAAGCGCTGTCCATACGAGTGCTATGTCGGCGGGAGATGCTCTCCCGCCGACATAGCTTCCAACTCTTGCAGAGGTGGAGTAATTATGCCAACGGAAGGGCTCTCTCCTATCAGCATAGAGCATCATCACCAGAAGCACTACAGCCGATGTAGCACTTCTAATGTAGACTATCCCTAAGTAATTTTTAAAGTATTCTTTCCCTATTTCCTGGCATTCATTAAGTTAGATGTCCAATTGCTACTAAAATTTTTGGTGAAAACTGAAACAAAAAGTCATTTGGCATTTCTGCCATTTCCACATTTTCTGTTATTGTTTTCCCGCCTCATTGAGTAATAGGCACACTCTGTCCTTGGTCTTCCTCTTGCTTCTAATGTAGTTGTAGAATGTTTTCTTCTTACTCTTTATATCTCTAGATAGTTTAATCGTGTTTTGTGCGTTGGTCTTTCTAATTTTGTCCCTATGTACTTATTTGTTTATATTCATCCTTTGTAATTTGACCTATTTTCCACTTTTGGTAAGATTCTCTTTTGAGAATCATTGAAGATCTCCTGGTTAAGCCAGGGTGGTCTCTTGCCCTACTTCCTATCTTTCCTATAGTTTGCTCTTGTGCCCTTTTCTCTTTGAAAAACTGCCAACTCTCTTGAACTGTTTTTCCCCTTAGACTTGCTTCCCAAAGGATCTTACCTACCAGCTCCCTGAGTTTTCTATTTCTGCCTTCTTGAAATCCATTTTCTTTATTGTGCTGTTTTCCCTCCTACCATTCCTTAGAATAATGAACTCTTTATCATTTCATGATTAATTTACCTAAGCTGCCTTCCAATTTCAAATTCTCCCTTATTTGTTAAAATCAAATCTAGAACAGCTTCTTCCCTAGTGGCTTTCTTTACCTTTTGAAATAAAAAATTGTCTCCAATGCATCTTGGTTGGATAATCTGTGCCCTGTTGTGTTATTTTCCCAACAGATGTCTCCATAGTTGAAGTCCCCCGTCACTGCCAAGTCCTGTGCTTTGGATGATTTTGTTAGTCGTTTATAAAAAGCCCCATCCACCTCCTCTTCCTGGGTAGGTGGTCTGTAGTAGACCCCTACCATGACATCGCCCTTGTTTTTTACCTTTTATCCTTACCCAGAGACTTTCAACAGGTGTCTCCTATTTCCATCTCACCCTCAGTCCAAGTGTATACATTTTTTATATATAAGAAAACACCTCCTCTTTTTTCCCCCCCAGTTTGTCCTTCCTGGGCAATCTGTACCCTTCTATACCAATATTCCAGTCATGCATATTATCCCACCAACTCTCTGGGATGCCAAGTATGTCATTCATGTTTATTGACTAGCATGTCTAGTTCTTTCTGCTTATGCCCGATACTTCTTGCATTAACATACAGACATCTAAGATACTGATTTGATTTCCCCCTATGTTCTCTCTTCTCTCCCCCTTATCCCTGCTGTAACGGCCCATGCTCCCCCCAGATTCTGACTCTTCATCCAGACCTCCATGTTTGTCTCATAATGGAAGGAAAGAGGAGCTGCATTGTATGTGTGGGGGAAGTAAGGAGGGGAAGCAGCTCTGTGAGGAGGGCCCTGGAAGGGCTTCTTGGTACTTGTTGCCATGGGCAGTGGGGAGGGAGATGGGCTTTGTTTAGGAGTCAGAGGGAAGGTCACTGGGGGGGGGAGACTCTCTATGGTGAAGTAGGAATAGGCTCTCTGTGAAACAATGGGGGTCTTTGTGAAGGTGGACTGTCTGGAAGGAAACACCTGGGGGAAGGTCTCCCTGGGGGTGTGGATGAAGCTGTTGCTGAGAAGTGGGAGATCTGTGAGGTGAGTCTCTGGGTGGGGGAGGGTTGAGAGCTTCTCCGTGGGGTGAGGGGCCTCTGAGTGAGGATAGGGCTTGCTGTGGGAGAAGGGGGTCTCTGTGGAGGGAGGGGCTCACTGAGCAGTGGGAGGGCTGGGGTCTCTGGGTGAGGTGCTCTGGGAGCGAGGGGGCAGAAGGCCACTCTGGGGGATCGCTTCACTGTGTGGCAGGAACCCCTTAGAGACCCGTGAGGCATGAAGAGTCCCTGTGGGATGGGGGTTCCTCATAGTAGGGGGTGGGGCCTCTGGGGGAGCATGGGGCTCTCTCATGGAAGGGGCGGGGGCTCTGCGAAGGAGGGGGAGGGTGCCTGGGCGAGCGTGGGGGTCTCGGAAAGGGGTGTGCTCCCTGTGAGGGGCAGGGGGGAACTTTCTGGGACGGGGCGGGGTCACTCAGGGTGGGGGGAGTCACTCACGGAAGGGGGCCGGGTCTCTGAAGGAGGGGGGTAATCTGTGGCCCCTCACGGAAGTGGGGTGGGTCCCTGGAGGAGCGTGGGGTTCTCTCAGGGAAGGGCCCAGGGGTCACGAAAGGGGGCGGGAGGGCCCGCTGGGCGCGTGGGGTCCCTGTGGGGAAAGCGCTGCGCACTGGGACGGGAGCGCTCCGTGTGGAGACGAGGGAGGAGGGTCTCGCTACATGACACCAGCTTTTCGCTGTGGGGGGCGGGGAGCCGCTCGCAGCCGCCGCGGCGCTACCCCAGACAGTAGGCGGGGCTGGAGGCGGGGGCGCGCGCCCGCCGGGTTCGTGCCCGCGCGCCGCCGTCTCCGCAGTGAGGTCACGGGTGGGCGGTGCGTGCGCGGCTTCTGCTCCACTGTTGGGGTGTCGGAGACCCCACGATGCAGGGTGAGCAGCCGGGCGGCGGGGTGAGGGGACCTGCTACAGACGCGGCGGGCAGAGCGCCCCCGGGGTGGCGGGAGGGGGGCTAGGGGGAGTGCGCGCGGCGGAGAGGGGGAGGGGAGGTTAGTCGTGAGAGGGGTAGGAGTGTCTGGGGGAAGGGGGCAAATCCAGGGGACTGTGTGGAGAGGAGCTGATTATGCCTGCGGTGGGGGAGTGTCTGTGGGGGATGGGGGTTTAGTCCATAGGCGTCTGTGGGGGAGGGAGCATTATCCCTAAGCTGGGGGAGTGTCTGTGGGGGATGGGGCTTAGTGGGGGAGGGAGGGGTGTTATTTCGTGGTCGGGTGTGCGTTCGGGGGAGGGGGACCCCATAAGGAGGGGGGGTCATAATGTGGGGAGTCGCTGAATGAAGGGAATTATTCCTGGCTGGGAAGGGTGGGTTGTGTGTGTGTCCTGGGGGAGGGGTTGTGAAGAGTTGGGTGGTGGGGTTTGTGTGTGGATGGGGCCGAGGAGAAGTTGTGTGTGTGACGTGTGCCGCTGAGAGGTGGGAATCAGGGGGCTACACGAGAATTGTCAGGGGGTTGGAAGAGTCAGTGGTAGGTTTGAATGCGGGATCACTTCAGTATTTGGGGTGTCCGTGGAAGGAAGGAGGAAAGGGTAAGCCCTGTGTTTGATGGAGTCCAGTCAGAGGAGAGCCTGGGTAATGGTTGAGTGAGTGATGTAGACTGAGGTGGAGGTGAGTCATGGGCGGGAGGGGCAGGCTAGTCTGGGTGGAGTGTGAGAGAGACGGGATGGTGGTGAGTGTTGGGGTTATTCCAGGAAGGGTCAGTGTGTCAGAGGAAAGCATGGGGGAGGGGACGTTAATCTCAGGGAAAATATAGCGCATGTGAGCTGTGGAAAATCACATAATAAGTATAGAGGTTGGCTGAGAGGAAGCAGTAGTGGTGAGTGTTGCATGGCGTCTGGTGTGGGAAAGGGTCTAGGCTGTTTCAGTTTAGTTATGTTGGATTTGTTTGGCTGGTACTGAATGTAAAAAGTGTGAGAATTGAGGTTGGGAGAAAATACCTTCATTTCATGAACATATTCAAGGAAAGAGGATCTGGCTAGTTGTCCCCTTTCCCTGTGTTAATCTTCTCTTATTTTGCAGTGCATGGAAGAGAGATGTGGTAATTCCTTTTTTTCTGGATTGTGTCCCTGGGCTTTACAAAGCATTGAATGGGGCGAGGGAATAGGTGATTCCCCTCTGTGTCCCCTTTGCCACATGTTTGCAGCACTCTGAGTTACGTTGCTGCTGCAAGGTTTATGCAGCTGCCATAATAGGGTTTATGATTTTAAATCAAAGCTCTCTCCAAATTAGTTATTTAGGGAACGTATCCCTACTTTACTATATTGAATCCATTTCAAAATTGAGAGACCGTTTTAGATAAAGATTGTACTCTTCAAATAAATTCGAATGATGATTACTGATCTTTTCTTCTTTTTACAGGTTATATAAAAGGATTGACAGAGATTTGTATTACTAGCCCCAAAAATGAATCTTGCTGATGGCCTGGATCTTATTTTCATTGCCAATAAGTTGGGGTAGGAAAACTGATACATGCTAGGGTAATTTTTACTGATGCTGACACTATAGGGATGTTTAGTTTCCACCAGCAACCCCGGATCTGCCTTTAATTTGTGGATTTATCACTGAATTACTATAATAAATTTCTCCACCACTGGAGGTGTGATTTAAACTTGGCTGCACAATAAATAAATAAAGCGACTAAGCTCTGTGCTCGATCCTGTGAGTTGAAAGGGATGTGCTGCATAAGTATACACACAACTGAAATTAACTTTTGGAAGATTTGCATTAACACCAGCACTGCTCAGTGAGAACAAGTGATAATTTTTGTATTTTAATACTTAAATGCAAGCATATATGAAAAGCCAATATGTTTTTTAAAAGAAAAACTTAATCAATACCAGACTTTTTTTGCACCAAACCCCAATTTTTCTACTAGATTAATTCATTAGAATGATCTATAAATAATGGTTTAGGGGTATGAAATTATACCCTTTTGTATGTACATTGTGCTGTCCATTTAATCCATTTAATAAAAGAGAACTGAACAAATATTTTTAAACCCAAAATAAAACTTTTGTTAACCCTTCCACCCTTGAATTTGATGCTGCTACATGCAGAACGGATTACATTTGTAGCTCTTGAGGTCTAAGGATTAAATCCTCACTCTAAGGAGGTGGCACAACATTTGCTGGGTGTGAGAGAATTAAAATAGTTGGAAATTGGCGTGTTTTTAAGAAAAACAAAACAAACACACAACTAGGAAGATGCACATTTCAAACTTATTTATTTAAAATTCTGCAGTTCAGTGATGGAAAGTCCACAAACAGATTTCTCCGTAAGTCCAGGTTCTGAGCAAAAAGAGAGTGAGGTCCAAGAAGATGGCAGTCCACCAGTAAAAAAAGTAATGACAGAGAAGCATGTAAATAGCAAAGTACAAGCTGTAGTAAATAAGTTGCCAACAATAAAGAAGGAAAACGTGGATGAATATGAAGAAACTCCCATGGAGTCTGATGGAGAAAATGCCAAACCAAACAGTACTACATTATCTGAGTCTTTAAATTTAAATCCTGGTTTGCAACACACATTGGCACAGTTCCATTTAAGCAGCCAGAGTTCACTGGGTGGACCAGCAGCTTTTTCAGCTCGTTATTCCCAGGAAAGCATGTCACCCACTGTCTTCGTGCCTCTTCCATCACCACAGATACTTCCTAGTCCACTGCTCATTCCTTCAGACAGTTCCACTGAGCTCACTCAGAGTATACTAGAGGGAGAATCTATTTCTTGTTTTAAAGTTGGAGGAGAAAAGAGACTCTGTTTGCCTCAAGTGTTGAATTCAGTGCTCCGAGACTTTTCACTACAGCAAATTAATACAGTGTGCGATGAACTGTATATATACTGCTCGAGGTGCACTTCTGACCAGCTTCATATCCTAAAGGTTTTGGGAATCCTTCCGTTTAATGCCCCATCCTGTGGGTTGATCACACTGACTGATGCTCAAAGACTATGCAATGCTTTACTACGTCCTCGCACTTTTCCTCAAAATGGCACTCTGCTTCCTGCAAAAAACACATTGGTCCAATTGAAAGAGACTGGCAGTGCCTTTGAAGTAGAGCATGAATGCTTGGGCAAGTGCCAGGGTTTGTTTGCACCTCAATTTTATCTTCAGCCGGATGCTCCGTGTATCCAGTGTTTGGAGTGCTATGGAATGTTTTCACCCCAGACATTTGTGATGCATTCGCATAGATCTCCTGACAAGAGGACCTGCCACTGGGGCTTTGAATCAGCCAAATGGCATTGTTATCTTCATGTTAACCAAAAATATTTAGGCACTTCAGAGGAGAGAAAACTGAAGCATCTTTTGGAGGAAATGAAGGAGAAGTTTAGCATGAAAAATCAGAAAAGAATTCAATCCAAAGTAAGTTAAACCATCCTTGAAAAACTTGTGGATCAAAGATGAAATATTTATTTTTAAAAGTATGTTCATTTTTATCAATATGAATAGGTATCAGACCAAGTATAAGTTAAGTCTGCTATAAATCTTCAACACAGATAATATAAAGCAGTAGTGAATATTCCTTTTGTGTTGGAGTTTTTATGGTGGTAGAAAACTTGCCAAAAAACATTTAGTCTAAAAGCTAGTTTTTTTTTTTTTTAAACTGGCAAAAGCTAGGAACTTTAGAGCCATCATGGAAAAAACTGTGCAACTTTTCTCATTTCAATTATCAATTTTGTGTGATATTCTATGTAGTGTGTGCACCAAGGCTAAGCAAAGCAGGAGGGAGCCTAAGAATGGAGCGTCAGCTTTAATTCTGTTTTTGTCAGTTGAAGTGAGTTTATTAGCTTGCCAAACACCCGGTAGCATGCCATGATTTTTCAATTAATGTAATGGTACATTGATAAGATACTATTTAAAAATGGAAGACTCTGGTAATGTGTTGTTTTTTTTCCATTAAACAGGTTATATATAATATAGATATGCCATACATGTTTTTTTAAGCAATCTAACTAACAGTTCTTTATGCTAGCAGATTGAGATACTATGGAGGGACTTGTAATAAAAATATGCAAATAGTATTGCTATAAATCTCTACATTGCTTCACAAACATAAAGCTTGTCCATGCCCAAAGAGCTCATAATCTGAAAAATAAGACAAATATTAGCCAAAACATTAAATAGTCCTAGTGAAGGAATTATTAGTGCTTGAAGAAGTAGGTTATAAGAGATTTGGAGGAGAAGTGAGGGTAAGTGATGGGTGAAGACAGGAGATTTGAAGAACTGGTTGCTTTGATGTTTGTGTGCAACTACACCTCTACCCCGATATAATGTGGTCCGATATAACGCGAATTAGGATATAACACAGTAAAGCAGCGCTCCAGGGGACAAGGCTGCTTTACCTCGTTATATCCGAATTCGTGTTACTGCGAGCGGTTCCTCTGCGCCTCCCCTGTTACTTGCTGCGGCCCTCCCCAGGGCCTCCCACCCCAGCTCACCTCCACTCCGCCGCCTCCCACGAGTGAGCCGCAGCTCCGCTTCTCCCCCCTCCCTCCCAAGCTTGCCGTGCCAATCAGCTGTTTTGCGCGGCAAGCCTGGGAGGGAGGAGAAGCAGAGCTGAGTGGCGCGCTCGTGGGAGGAGAAGGAGGAGGTGGACCGGAGGTGAGCTGGGATGGGGAGTGGTTCCTCTGTGCTCCCCCCTTTACTTGCTGCGGCCCCCCTGCCCTAGCTCACCTCCGCTCCGCCTCCCACGAGCGTGCCGCCACTGCTCTGCTCTCCCTCCTCCCCCTTCCAGGCTTGCCAGGCCAAACAGCTGATTGGCGTGGCAAGCCTGGGTGGGGGGGAGAAGCTGGGGCGGGGAGCAGTAAAAGTGGTTTCTCTCCCTACCCTGATGTAACGCGGTCTCACCTATAACACAGTGAGATTTTTTGGCTCCCGAGGACCGCATTATATCGGGGAGAGGTGTATTAATTTTTCTGTAGGGAGAGTTTAAACTTTGAGGTTTTGAAATGCTTCCCTCTTCCTGTTGGGTTACATTGTGTTCTTTGAAGCATTAACCTGTCCACTTTCAAGCTACAGGCCTGATCACACACCCATTAAAGTGGGTGCAAGTTTTTCCATCCAATTCAATGGGAGCAGCAGCTGACCATGAACGTTACTGGTAGTTGGCACCTCTTGGAATCAAGTCCTGAGAAACCATCAGTGTAGGTACCCAGGGGCTGCCCACTTTACAACAATAATGTGACAGTTATTCATAGGCCCATAGAGAATTTTGACACTTTAACATTATAGCATGCCTGTAGCACATCCTCCTTCCACGCATACAATTATTACTAGTGTGCACAGATGTTCATAGTATGGTTGGTGGTGTGCTTGCTCCTAGAATGATTAACTACTACATCGCTCTATCATTGCAGTGCCACACACTGGTATAGCAGCTGCAAAAGTACAAATATTCTTTCTGTGCTTTCTACCTCTCAGTGACAGTTTTGACAGTCTAAAGCACTGGCTCTGTCACTTCTCAAGCTGGTTGTATGCAGGCCCAAAAGTAACAAGGGCAATGTTCAGGTGGTCTCTGCTGGGTCTAGTCCATAAAACCCACCAGCTCAGAGCAGGTCTGAGGGCAGCAGCGGTAGTATTAAGTTTGTGTTGTCTTTTCTTGTTCACCCTTGCAGAACTCTTCTCCCCCTCCCCCCAGCAAAGGAGGACATGGAAATAGAATGATAAATACAATTTTATGATAACTTTGGACTGCCCCACTCCTATTTCTTGCTGCTAAAGGGAAACAAAAGAGAATGAAACATAAGGCACCTGCAGAACAGGAAAACAATAACACGAATTCAATTTTAAAAATTACTGAATAAAGAATTGAAAGTAATAAAATCAAGCTCCTTGAGCACTGCCACTTCCAGACCCCTAGTTGCCTCACTTTTCTTCTGAAGTTTTCGCTCTCCAGATTCATTCCCCTCACAATACAAGTATGCTTTGATCTCACCTATCTTAAAAAATAAAACACCCTTGACCCAAATGGTTTCACCAGCATTATTTCCCTTTTCCCCTTCACCTCCAAGCTAACTGAATTGACTGTCTACAGCTGATGTATTGACTTTCTCTCATTCAGCTCAGTTCTTGACTCTCAACAATCCAATTTCCATTCCATTGAAACTGCTGTCACTAAACTCTCTAATGATCTCTTCAATGGCACGTCTACACTACAAGTGCTACAGCAGCACAGCTGCGGTACAGCAGGTATGGTGCTGTAGCATAGATACTTGCTATAGCAATGGAAGGGGCCCTCCAAGATATATATTGGTACCAATGCTGTTCAGCATAAATGATCTGGAAAAGGGGAAGAACAGTGAGGTGGTAAAATTTGCAGGTAATACAAAAAATTATTCAAGATTGATAAGTCAAAAGCTGACTGTGAAGAGTTACAAAGAGATCCCACTAAACTGTGTGACAAAATGGCGGATGAAATTCAATGTTGATAAATGCAAAGTAATACACATTAGAAAAAATAATCCTAGCTATACATACAAAATATTGAGCTCTAAATTAGCTGTTACCACTCATCAAAGAGATCTTGCAGTCATTGTGGATAGGTCCCTGAAAAGATCTGCTAAATGTGCAGTGGAAGTCAAGAAAGCTAACAGAATGTTAGGAAAGGGATAGATAATAAGACAGAAAATATCATAATGCCACTACATAAATCCATGGTAAACCCACACCTTATATGTTGCATGCAGTTTTGGTCCCCCATCTCAAAAAAGATATATTAGAAGTGGAAAAGTTTCAGAGATGAGCAATGAAAATGATTAAGTTTCAATGTGAGGAGGGAGAAAAAAGACTGGGACTGTTCATCATAGAAAAGAGACAACTAAGGGGAGGTATGATAGAGGTCTATAAAATTATGAATGGTATGGAGAAAGTGATTAGGAATGTGTTATTTACCCTTTCACATAACACATGAACTAGTGGTTGTCCAACAAAATTAATACAATTAAAAAAAAAAAGAAATATTTCTTCACACAGTGTACCATCAACTTGTGGAACTCATTGCCATGGGATGTTGTGAAGTCCAAAAGTATAACGGTTCAAAAAAGAATTAGATAAGTTAATGGAGGATAGGTCCATCAGTGGCTATTAACCAAGATGGTCAGGAATGCAACCCCATGCTCCAGGTGTCCTTCAACCTCCAACTGCCACTGACCACTATCAGAGACAGGATACTGGGCTAGATGGATCATTGGTCTGACCCAGTATGCCTGTTCTTCTGTTCATATGTAATCAAAACTGAGCTGGCATCTCCCCCAAACCATTGCCTTGCCTTCCTTTCCTTTCACGAAGGCCCAGGTAGCCTGAATGTCATCACAGCCCTATCTCTGGACCCACATATATAGGCAGTGTCTAAATCTTGCCGCTTTTTATGTACCGGTTCAAAGATCTAACAACTGTCTGTTCAGGCTGCTTAAACTCTTGCCCTGATCACTGTGATCTCCTCCTCCCTGGCCTTGACTGCTGCAGTCGTCTTCTCACCCACCCCCACTTTGGTCTCCCTTTAGTTTATTCAGAATGCTGGTAGGATCATTTTAGTAGAACATTGCTCTGACCACCCGACCTCTACCTCTTTGCATCCCTCCATTGACTGTGCTTCTGATGAAGGATTTTAAATGTAAAGACTATTTAACCCCACCTTACCTAGATCTATTATCTTATACTGTTGACCTTCACTTTTGCTCTGTCCATGATCTCTGTTTTGATTGCCTTCTAGTCTGCTTTTCCCACAAGTGCTGCCACACTGCTCAGTAGGTATGGGGAAAACTCCCAGTCACAATCTACAGAGTCAACAGTTTTTCTTCTGAATCTCTCCTTAAATCCTACCTCTGCAGTAGTACTTAAAAACAAACCAACAAAAAACAACCAACCAACCAAAACCAAAACCCAAAAAAACCCATACAAAACCCCTGTCAGCTGATAGTGGCTAAGCAGGTTATGAGCTGAAACCACTACCTACTATGCTCATTTAACTGATACTTTGTCTTCTCATTCCATTACATCACCATTTGTCTTTCATTCACGTGTTATGTCTTGTCTTACCTTGTGAGCTTTTTTGGGACAGAAAGGGTCTGAGTTACTTGTTTGTTCAGTACCTACCACAGTGGTCTTCAGATCCCTGACTGAGGCCCTAGATGCTACCATGATACAAATATAAATACATTTCTTCATTTTATATTCATACTTTTATTAAGTTTTTGGCAATGACTTTATTTGTTTTGGTTTGTTTTAGAAAAGAGCCTGGAAGCATTTGTTTTATGTAAAAATGATTTTTATATAGCCTTTACAAACATGAGTAAAATGAGGTCAAATTTTAGGCTTACCAGCTTTGATAATGTCTTTTTATGTATAGTATATTTAAATATCTGTTAACTACTTAAAATCTGTGATTTGGTTGGATATGCTTATATGTGCATATGCAGTCTGTATTTAAATAGACACTTTCCCTCAGGGGCTGAAAATGTTATTAATAGTTTGGTTTAGAATGGCTGGACCTGGACAGTGAGTGAGAGAAAATGTTTTTAGGAAAACATTTCAATTATATATTTAAATGTATCTGCCAGAGGCTTTACCAAGTAACATTTTCATTGTATTTGGAATAATTCAGTTGTGAAATAGACATCGAAGGAGAACATGTGCATTAAAAAAACTGGTCTGATAGCATAGTAATGTATAACATAATTGTATAAAAGGTCATCTGTAAGTTAAAACATCTGATATAAAAGGTGGAGATAATGTAATCCAGAAATGATAAAAGTAAAAATCATACTGTACAATAGCCATTATATAAGTAGAAGAATGAATATAAAGTATTTAAATTATCAGAATGACCTCACTAATAGACTGGAATCCAGCTTCTCAGGCCATTTGTGTGGAAGTTATGTGTTCTCTGTATTTCAAATCCTTTACATTTAAGGTAGTATTTATTGTCTTAAAAGCTTTTACCATTCTGGGACCTAGCTCCTTTGGGGCCTACATCTTCCCAGTATCCTGTCCTGAGATCAGTAGGGGGCATTCTTGATTTTAGTTCCTAAGATTGAACTTGGTAGACTGAAGATTCTGATTGGAAGGTTGTTGGCTACGAACTTGCTCTCTGTCACGGTCTGTTAGAGTTCAAGTTTGACTCTACAGGGTGAAGTGCAAGGTACGCTTATCTAATCAGGTATTCTCTCAACAGCTAAGGATGTAGTTATGAGAACTTGTTTTTGGAATTCCTACTGCAAGGTTGTTATATACTGGTAGATATATGTGTGCACACTTTTAAATTTTTTTTCATAGGTGTTAAAATATGTGTGTTGTTCATGTGTGTATCAGACTCTCTGGTAATATTACTGCTTTTTGCATAGTAGAGCATTGGATATTGCCAGAAATTGATAAGGAATGTTTGCCAGGCTTCTTATTCTTGAAACAAAATGAACAAGAATTTCTATTCAAATATGAAATGAGGAAGCCTTTTAAGATGTCATTCCATAGCAATATCTAAAGTATGTCAGTATTTCAAGATAACAATGTTTAGTCATGTTATTGTGGTGAATCTGTCCCTCCTCTATAAACAGAAATCTATGACTCGTAAAATCCCCTAGTGTGTGATTGGAGTAATTTGCTGCTGCTTGTTTTTTTGTAGACTTCATTTTGCAATGAAGTACGTGACAACTGTGTAAAGTGAGGTGACATTTCATTGCAGCATGGGCCCTGCCCTTGCCCCCATTAGCAGTCCTGGGTTCTACTTCCTTTTACTACATATAATTATAGTATGCTTCTGGCAGAAATTTGGAAAGCCAATGAAATCTTTGTATGGATTTTTAAGGAGTTTTCCAATGCAGTTCAGTATGAAGACTAGGCTCAGGGATAAAGTGCATATTACTACTTTTTCCCTCTTGCTTTCTAGATATAGCTAATATAGATATTGTTAAAGTTGAATTTATGTGTAACACAATACATTTCTAAAATAAATAAGCAGCATCTTTCTTTTTAATCAAGAAGTTAATATCTGTAGCTTTAAGGTATATATTTGCAGTGTAGACACCCATTCTGTCTTTTTGCATGCCATATTTCAGTCTAAGAGTTATCAGTTACTGAGAAGCTGTACTTGAAAAATAATCCATTTGTGTTGTGTCTCTGAGCCAATTTTAAACTAGCATAGGTGAAAGTTCTATGTTTATATTTAATGCAGTTTCATCTTTATCCATAGTTAGATGGGACAAATTAGAGGTCATGCAGCTTTCCTTGCCCCACATTGCTGCTCTTCATTGGCCTATATTTCCTTTCTCCTCTCTCTGTTCCCCCATCCCCATCTGGCTTATGCTGCCCAGCTTGAAATAAAATGAGTTTATTGTATAAATGCCATTAATAATTGAATAACATTTTTACTAACTCTTTAGCAAAGCTGACTGGTTAGAAGTTGAAAGATGAGTAAAAACAACCCTAAATTGGTTTTATTTCTTTATTTTTATTTCAGGCAGATCCTCAGGAAAGCCTAGAATTGCAGCAATGGTATCCAGTTATAAAGCATGAAGCAGACCCTGTTACTCAATCACATTCATTCGTCCATCCCAGGTAACTGAACATCTTCTACAGAAATGTGTATGTTCAGTATAATAGTTCTTTAATGATTCAAAGATTATTTTAGGTTTTAAAATGTAATTATAACTTTACTTGTTAACTGAAATTTTATGGGAAAATTGCAGTATATTGCACAAGGATAAGTTAAGTCTACTGGATATTTTTAGTGTAAGGTAGTGAAGTTGTCGTGCTTAGTGCTAATAAACAAATGATGCCTCACTTAATAGTAACTTTGTTCTGCTTAATAGAGATGTTTGAGCATTGTTGAACTGGAAAAAATTGGAAAGTGCAATTACACTGAGTCACTTTTCAAAGTAAAAATGGCTTTGTGGTGGATGCTAAATTCTAATCTCTCTGTAACTTAATGTGTGTGTAGAAAGCCACACACCTCATTAATGCCATAATTGAAACATAATTTTCATATATAACTAGGACCAACTCTTTCCATAGTTTGTATTCTACATTGAAGCAAGGTGGGACTTCCCCCTTCTGATGACATGTCTGTAAAATGCTGACTACTGCAGTTGATTAGTTGGTTCCCTGATTTCACAAACCAAGCACATTTCTTCAGTATAGCACTCACTTCATCCCTATAGCAGTCAGAAAAACAGTGTTTTTTCTTTGAGTATGTGTCAATGTGGATTCCACTGTAAGTGCATGTGTGCCTCATATGCGTGAGATAAGATTCCTTTGAATAGCCACGTTTATGGGGGCCACTCATGCACATCAATGCTCTTCCCCTCTGTCAGACACACTGTGTTATGGCTAGGTGAGGAGCTTTGCAGTGGTTGCCTCTTTTCATGGTAGACTAATCTGTCAGGTTCAAACCCTGCTTGTCCTGTGATGGCCACTTATGGATGGACACAGTCTATGCCTTTTCCACTTGGGAGAGAGCAACATCCCAGACCAGGTGCTCTATGTGCTGGTCTTTCCCCTCAAGGATTCACAAGTCCAGTGACGCTCGGCTCAGGTTACATCTGTTAGAGCAGTCCATGCAGGTCACTTATGACCCAGAGGTGATGCTAACGGCTCAACCTGAGCCAAAGAAATAATCTGCTAGCATTCCTCAAGCAGACACCATAATCTGGGGTTTCGAAAAGAAGAATACATTGAAGAAGGAGCCAACAACATTGGTACTGATAACTTCAACGATGATGACTTCTACACCAACTACCTCGGGACCAACTCTGACAAGTTCAGCATGTGTGCCACTAACACCAAAGGGAGACTCTGAAAGGCAAGGCTGGATGGAGTGCAAACACTGTGCAAGCACCACATCGGACCACCTAACAAAACGGACTCAAAACCCTACTTCTCCAAAGGTAAAGCTTCCAAATTCCTAGGGCTCCCAAATTAGAGAAGAAAAGCCAGTCAACTGATGTAGCAAGTGGTAAGGAAGTCCTGGTGCTGGCCTCACCATTGACCTTAGAACTGGTAGCCAAACCTGTCAAGGGTTTGAGCTATACCTAAATGGAGGAACTGGAGACATCCACTGCTCCGAACAGCGACCAGCGCAGGCTCTCCTAGCACTTGGATCATGCCACTCTACAGCCCCACTGTTTGAGGAAGTATACTCCATTTACAAATCATTCTTGCCGATGTTGTATAGAGATCTCTCTCCCCTGCTATTGGAGAGTGGCCCTAGGAAGAGTTCTGAAGGCCACCAATTCTGGGCCCCACCTCCAGCAAGCCATGAATGGCATTGGGATGACCATCCTTAACCTGGCCAGCACCCTTGTAGCGTGTCACCGAGGCCATTCTGGCTGTACTGGGGACCAGTGTCAGATACGTTCCGGAGCAGACGTCTCTCTCATACATTGAGGCAAAGGACATCTTACTTCCCAGTAGCATCATTAGCCAGGCAACTCACTCCAGAACCAGAGTGACAACTGAGGGACAGCAACAATCTCACTCTCCACCTAAGGAATCATTTCTGTCATCAGATAAAGCAGTAGCACAGCAGTCAACTTTGAAGCTTTTTGGGACCTTCTGTCCCAGATCACGGAGATCCTGGACATTGAAACCACAGTCATCCAGGGGAAGTCCCACAAACTTTTTTATATACTGAGCTCTACAATTCCATCCAGGATCACTTACCTTTCAAGAGGGTATAGCTGAGCTGGCAAAGGGACTTTGGCAAACACTGTCTACTTTTCGTCCCACATCTAAATGAGTGGAAAAGAGATACAAGGTGCCCCCAAACGGCTTTGAATCTTTCTATGCCCACCCAAACACAGGGCACAAAGGATACACCTAAAGGTAAAGACCCTAAGAAACTGGAATGCTCTGGGTTCGAAGTATACTCTTTTGCCTCACTGCAGTTCCAGGTTGCGAACTACCAGGCCCTGTTTGCAAAATAACTTCCTCACCTGGGAAGGGGTCACTCACTTCCTAAGATCCCCAGGAGAATAGGGAAGAACTAAAAAAAATCAAGTATCAGAGGGGTAGCCGTGTTAGTCTAGATCTGTAAAAAGCAACAGAGGGTCCTGTGGCACCTTTAAGACTAACAAATGTATTGGAGCATAAGCTTTCGTGGGTGAATGCCCACTTCGTCAGACGCATGTAATGGAAGTTTCCAGAGGCAGGTATAAATATACAGGCAAGAATCAGTATGGAGATAACGAGGTTAGTTCAGTCAGGGAGGGTGAGGTCCTCTGCTAGCAGTTGAGGTGTGAACACCAAGGGAGGAGAAACTGCTTCTATAGTTGGATAGCCATTAACAGTCTTTGTTTAATCCTGATCTGATGGTGTCAAATTTGCAAATGAACTGAAGCTCAGCAGTTTCTCTTTGGAGTCTGGTCCTGAAGTTTTTTTGCTGTAAGATGTAAGAAAAACAACATCACTTGCCTCATAACCTAAGTCATGCAGAACGCAATGCCATCCACAGCCTCAGAAACAACCCTGACATTATAATCAAAGAGGCTGATAAAGGAGGTGCTGTTGTCATCATGAACAGGTCTGACTACCAGAAGGAGGCTGCCAGACAACGCTCCAATACCAAATTCTACAGGCCGCTTTCCTCAGATCCCACTGAGGAATATACTAAGAAACTGCACCATCTACTCAGGACACTCCCTACACTAACACAGGAACAAATCAACATACCCTTAGAGCCCCGACCGGGGTTATTCTATCTACCTCCCAAGATCCACAAACCTGGAAATCCTGGACGCCCCATCATCTCTGGAATTGGCACTCTCACTGAAGGACTATCCGGATATGTGGACTCTCTGCTCAGACTCTATGTCACCAGCACTCCCAGCTATCTCCATGACACCACTGATTTCCTGAGAAAACTACAATGCATTGGTGACCTCCCAGAAAACACCATCCTAGCCACCATGGGTGTGGAGGCTCTCTACACAAACATCCCACACACAGATGGAATACAAGCTGTCAAGAACAGTATCCCTGATGATGACACAGCACAACTTGTTGCTGAGCTCTGTGACTTTATCCTCACGCACAATTATTTCAAATTTGGTGACAATATATACCTCCAGACCAGTGGCACCGCCATGGTCACCCGCATAGCCCCACAATATGCCAACATTTTTATGGCTGACCTGGAACAATGCTTCCTCACCTCTCGTCCACTCACGCCCCTTCTCTACCTATGCTACATTGATGACATCTTCATCATCTGGACCCATGGGAAGGAGACCCTGGAAGAATTCCACCACGATTTCAACAGCTTCCACCCCACCATCAAACTCAGCCTGGACCAATCTACACAGGAGGTCCACTTCCTAGACACCACAGTACAAATAAGCGATGGTCACATTAACACCACCCTATACCGAAAACCCACCGACCGCTACGCCTACCTTTATGCCTCCAGCTTCCACCCCGGACACACCACACGATTCATCGTCTACAGCCAAGCGCTGAGGTACAACGCATCTGCTCCAACCCCTCAGACAGAGACCAACACCTACAAGATCTTCACCAAGCATTCTCAAAACTATGATACCCACACAAGGAAATAAGGAAACAAATCAACAGAGCCAGACCTGTACCCAGAAGCCTCCTGTTAGAAGACAAGCCCAAGAAAGAAACCAACAGAACTCCACTGGCCATCACCTACAGTCCTCAGCTTAAACCTCTCCAACACATCATCAGTGATCTACAACCCATCCTAGACAATGATCCCTCGCTTTCACAGACCTTGGGAGGCAGGCCAGTCCTCGCCCACAGACAACCCGTCAACCTTAAGCATATTCTCACCAGCAACCATGCACTGAACCATAACAACTCTAACTCAGGAACCAATCCATGCAACAAACCTCAATGCCAGCTCTGCCCACATATCTACACCAGCAACACCATCACAGGACCTAACCAGATCAGCTACAACATCACCAGTTCATTCACCTGCACGTCCACCAATGTTATATATGCCATCATGTGCCAGCAATGCCCCTCTGCTATGTACATTGGCCAAACTGGACAGTCACCATGTAAGAGGATAAATGGACACAAGTCAGATATCAGGAATGGCAATATACAAAAACCTGTAGGAGAACACTTCAACCTCCCTGGCCCCACAATAGCAGCTGTAAATGTAGCCATCTTACAGCAAAAAAACTTCAGGACGAGACTCCAAAGAGAAACTGCTGAGCTCCAGTTCATTTGCAAATTTGACACCGTCAGATCAGGATTAAACAAAGACTGTGAATGGCTATCCAACTACAGAAGCAGTTTCTCCTCCCTTGGTGTTCACACCTCAACTATTAGCAGAGGAACTCACCCTACCTGATTGAACTAACCTTTTATCTCTATAGTGATTCTTGCCTGCATATTTATACCTGCCTCTGGAAACTTCCATTATATGTGTCTGATGAAGTGGGCATTCACCCACGAAAGCTTATGCTCCAATACATTTGTTAGTCTTAAAGGTGCCACAGGACCCTTTGTTGCTTTTTAAAAAAAATCAGTTAAGGGTCAAATGGTTGCTGGAATGGCATTGCAAGTGGCCATGGACACAGCTGATA